TCCAATGAAATATTTCACATTTTCTTCTATTTTTTTCATTCTTTGGCTTTGTTTTACTGTCTCTTGATGTATCATGGAGTCATCAGCTTCCATTTGACCAATTGTAATTTTTAAGTTCTTTTCTTAAGTAGATTTTTGTGCCTCTTTTACCATTTGGCCAATTCTGTTTTTTAAGTTATTTTCTTTGATATTTTTTGTTCCAAGCTGTTAATTCTCTTTTCATAAATTTCTTGCATCATTTGCATTTCTTTTCCCAATTTTTCCTCTACCACTCTTATTGCTTTCTTTAACTTTTCCAGGAATTCTTCTTAGATTTGGGTCCAATTAGCAATTTTCTTTGAGGCTTTTTTGGTAATTGTCTTCATATTACTGTTTTCTTCTGAGTTTATGTCTTGGTCTTCCCTGCCATTACACTAGCTTTTTGTGGTGAAATTCTTTTTTTGTTGTTTGCTTGTTTTTCTTGACTTTGAACTTTATGTTAAACTTTATTTTAAAGTTGGAGTCTGCTCACATGGAGGTGGGGACCCACTGTCCCAAGCTTCAGAGCAAGTAAGTGGCACAGTGGGTAGAGTGCTGGACCTGGAGTTAGAAAGAATCATCTTCCTGAGTTCAAATCTGGCCTCAGACACTTAGTAGCTGTATGACCTTGGGCAAATCACTGAACCTTGTTTGCCTCAGTTTCCTCATTTGTAAAATGAGCTGGAGAAGGGAATGCCAAGAAAACCCCAAATGGGGTCACAAAGAATTGGACACAACTGAAAACGATGAAACAGCAAATAATGACTTCCCTGCCATCATAGTAGCTTGTTATGATCAAATTCTGTTTTTTGTTGTTTGCTCATTTTTCCAGCCTATTTCTTAACTTTGAGCTTAAATTTGGGCTCTGCGTCTCTGTGAGTGGAGGGGACATTGTCCCAAACTTCAAGCTTTTTCGTGCTGCTGTTTTCAGAGCCAGTTCTGGGGGTCTGCAAGTTTTGGTGTTTATAAGATGGTGTGATCTTAGGAGAGGTGTGGTCACTTCTCTCCTGGTCTGTGCTGTGGTCTTTACCCAGAAAGGGCCCTTGGTCCCCTACAGCCACTAGCGCTAGTGCGCCCTCTGTTTTGGAACTGTGACCAGGGCCCCTGTTTCCTTGTGACTGACCCCCAGCACTCCTCTCCACCTTGGAACTATGACCCAGAACTATGTATGGGCAATAGAGTTGCCAGTCAGCTCCAGCTGTACCCCGTGGCAGCAAAGGTTCCTCTGTTATTTCTTTCTGATCAGTTGTCTGATGCCCCCTATTGTTTCTAGACCCAGAGCTCCTGCAGCTGCTGCTGTTGCTGTGGCATTGTTGCTGCCTTCATGTGTGTTTGTTGTGGATGACTCTCTCCCCTAGTATCACAGACTTCTGCTGACCTTCTTAAGTTTTCTTAGGCCCCAAAAATATCTCACCCAGATCTTTTGTTGGCTCTGCCACTCTAAAATTTGATGTGAGGCAATTATTTTAAAATTGTTTGGAGGGTAATATTGGGAGAGGTCACCTAGGTGACTCCTTGTAATCAACCATCTTGATTTCACCCCTGGCTGATGGGATCTTTCAGGGCAATGAGGTTTTCCCAAATAGTGAGCTTCCTGGGTAATAGTAGAGGAGTCAGAGAAGTCTCAGAGTGGTATAGTCACATGAGAAATGACTTCCAGTCCCTCTATCTTGTCAACAGGCAATCACAACTTCATGAAACTTATGTGAAAATTAAGTTTATTACAAGAGAAATTAACATGCATGTGGTACCCAAAGAGTTTATAATCCACATAGAAGTTTGCATATTCATGATAGTACAACAAAGGAAGGAAGGAAAAACAGAAATCTCCACCTAAAGGGGTATGGCATGGAAGAGGGAAAGGTACAGTAAAGGTAGGAAAAGAACAAAACCCTTCCTGAAGGGGAGGAGCATGGCAGTGGCAAAAGCCACATTTTTTCCCTTCGGAACTGCTAGACCATGAAGATATGATGGTCTCCTTATCCACAAGGATCCCAGCTGCACAATTTCACAGTCTAGTGCAGACTGACTGACGCCTTTCTTGATTCCCAGAAACACGGAGAGTCCAATTTAGGATGCAAACAACAAATTTTATCAGCTCAGAGGGACTTCATCTTTGACACATACAGGGACTCCTGCATGCTCTGGGTCCAGTGTTTCTAGAAAATATGGCGACTCAAAAACACAAGTTCAGGGGACCCCTTAACAGTCCTTAACAATTCCTGCTCTGTCTATACTCTCCTTCTTTCCCAATATTAATTACTTGTTCCATCAGTTTATCTTGAAACTGTCCTCTATTTCTGACTCTCTTTCTTCCTTATCCTGTTGATGATCATGCCTTGCCAAACCGTAACCCTAGATTATTGTCACCATCCATCTCTTTCACTCATCTTTACTTGCTGCTGAACAGAACTGGAGAAAATAATGAAACCATGTTGCTTTGGTTGACTTTAAATTTGTTCTAGAAAATCTTAATTGGGCCTTTACTCTAGCAAAGTAATCCTAATATTTTACCCTGATTTACTTCTACTTCACCACACCACACATTACAGACCTCTTTGTCCCTTCACGAACCTCCTACTATACTCCCTCTACCCTCTGTGGTGAAGACTTCACCAACGAAAATTGAGTCTGTTCACCAGGAATTCCCTTCTGTCTTTTTTTTTTTAAATACAGTTGTTAACAACTTGTATTTCTTCCTTTGGGAACTGCCTGTTAGTATCCTTTGACCATGTATTTATTGGGAATGGCTCTTGTTCTTATATATTTGAATCAGCTCTTTATATATCTTGCATATGAGACCTTTATCAGAGAAACTTGTTGCAGAGTTTTTTCCTCTCAGTTACCTAATTTGAACTGCATTCGTTTTATTTGTGCAAAAACTTTTTATTTTTATTGAATTGATTTTTTTAACCTTCTCTGATCTCTTTATCATGGGCATTTCTTAAATAAATTCAAACTATCAATAAACATGAAAGCATGCTCTAAATCATTAATAATTAGAGGGACACAAATAAAAAGAACTCTGATCAGGGTGTCAAAGATAACAAAAAAGAAGAATGAAAATTGTTGGTGGGGCTACAGGAAGACAGGCACACTAATACACTGTTGGCGCTATGAATTGGCCCAGCCATTTTGGAAAGAAATTTGGAACTATATTTAAAAGGTACTAATCTGTGCATACCCTTTGACCCACTATTTTTTATCCCAAAGAAGTCAAATGAAGAAAAAGCCCCATATGCATAGATATTTATAACAGTTCTTTTTGAACTGGTTCCCCATCAACTGGGGAATGGCTGAACAAATTGTGGTATATGAATGCACTAGAATATTATTTTATTTTAAGAAAGGACAAAAGTGATAGTTTCAGACAAATTTGGGAAGACTTGGATGAACTGATTCATAGTGAAGTAAGCTGAAGCCAGAGAATAATTTATAAAATGACAGTAACATTGTAGAGAAAAACAACTATTAACCACTAAGGATTGCTCAATACAATGACCAACTACGATTCCACAGGACTGATGATGAAGCAAAATGCCTACCTCCTTTCAGAGAGGTGAGGAGCTCAAGGTGGAAAATGAGACATTTTCAGACACAGCCAGTGGGGATTTGTTTAGCTTGAATATGCATGTTCGGTACAAGGGTTTTGTGTTCTCTTCTTTCATTTTGATGGAGGAGTTCAGGGGGACACCAAGTCTAGAGTTACCAGAGTAAAAAAAATAGAAAAGAAAACTAACAATTAAATGCTATTGAAGTACTCTGAAAAGGAACATAGTCAGTGGAAAGATCATTAATAAGAAACAACAGACCAGTGGGTCAGCTTTGAAATTAATATATTGGATTTATTATAATGTATTGCATTTATTATATACTTAATTTATTGAATTTATTATGTATTTTAAAAATTTAGCAACTTGCATGTAATAGAGATTCATACCTTTATGTACAATGTTCTTTTTTGTTCTACATTGTTTGTGGAAATATTTGCAATTTGTTAAACTAAGAATAAAAAAAATGAAAAAAAGTATAACCAATTTCAAGTCTTTACTATGTTGGCATGTAAAATGACTTCTAATAGGTCTGTAAGCTTTCTGATCAGCTCTCATGTATACTAAGAGAGGAAAACAGTGGCATAGAAAATGCATAGTGGTAGATATAGAATTATAGAGTAATAAGGAACACCAAGTCTAACTAGTCATTCCATAATCTGCAGGTCACTTAGTTGGCTTTGTAACATATTTTTATACTTGCATTTTAAAATATAAATGTGCTCATATTATTGGAATTTACTTTAAAAAAGTTATTTCATAAGGACCCAATTCAAATTGAGCAGAAAAGCTGTAAAGCATCAGACCCTTGCTCAGCTAATCACTCTTTTCTTGATTCTTTAATTTTACTTAAAATTTTTGAGACAGAGGGTATAGTAGAGAAGTTATTCTTAAGTGATAAGATTTTTAAATTTAGAATTTTTCAGGAATTAGTTTTTGTGTTAAATGTTTATAAGGTCATAGATTTGCTTATTGTATTTTCCTGTTGACTTTATTCAGCTGTATGTCTTTTTTGGGTGAAAAGGGACAAGTGAGTATGAATATATGTGTGAACCAACCTAAGCTTTCTAGTGAGCTTGCTCTTCCTTTGCATTGCCACTTCTATGGGGGAACAGTAGAAATTCTTTTTTCTCTTTCCTTTTGTGGGCAAGTGTATGATGGCAAAGCACTCCAATATATTTGCCAAGAAAACTCCAAATGGCATCACAAAGAGTCATATAAGATATGACCCTCTATATGGTTATACATGATGATATGGTCAGTATGATTGTATTTGAAAATATTTAGGGCCAACTTTATACCTAAATTATATACTGCTTGAATGTTTTATCTTTTGTATATAGTTTTATTTTGTTATATTTTTAAGAAATGACGATTGGTCCTAAGGAAATTATAGCATATATTCTTTATTGTTATTTTTCTGTTTGACAGACCCATATAAATCCTTGTTTTTATCAGTCTTCTGAAAAGAGCCAGCTATTGCCATTGGAGACAAATAAATGGCATTGGTTGAATCCTGGAGACAGTTTTTCCTTATTAGTTGACAAATACATTTTCCATGTTTTCTCTACATGTTCTGAAGTGGAATGCACTTTACGGTAAGGTCTTCTGATTTGATGACAGTAAAGAATGCTATTTGCCATACAGTTTCTCATTTATAGATGTTAAGCCCATAAATACTTAACCAAAAGCCATTCTAAGACCAAACTACACAAGAAATCAAGTAGCTGAATGATAGTTAGAGACTGTTTTTTTAGAAAACCTTTGACTTTGTGAATAATTGTTATGCCTAAAAAGTGATCAAGCTTATCTGTGATTTGTGCTTACCATCCTCTGTAAGAATAGATTTATTTTTCGATAAACAGAGCCAAGTGTGAAGCCAAGAGCCGAAAGTTAAATTGACTTCAGTGGAACAAATATTTACGTTCTTTGTACTTTGTACTTTGCCTTTTAAATTTTATAGCTATTCTCTATCTTTGCACAACCTGCGGCATACGAAAGTATGTCTTTGATCCCTTCTTCTAAAAATAATAGAATAGCAACGCTGAGGAAGTAAGAAACTAATGAATATCAGATATTCACTGTAATTTAAAACTCACATCCCTATGTATTCTGAGCAATTCCTGCAACAGAAAAGAATCACGTAATTCCAGTTGTAAAGGACCTTGATGACCATCTTGTCCATCTTGCTCCTGACTAAAAATCACATCCTCAGTTAATAGTCATCTGCCTTTCACTTGCAAGATTGCTGGTGGGGAAACCTCTACATCCCCAGGGAGACTTTACCATTTAAAAAATGATTTTAATTATTAGGAAGCTTTTCCCCCCTCAAATTTCTCTACAGTTTCTACCAATTTCTCTTAGTTCTACTTCTGAGAAACTGAGAATGATTTTAATATTTCAGTTAAGTGAAGTGAAGTGACTATTACTCAGTTTGTATATTCATTTTTAAAACTGGCACTCTTCTCTAAGGGACAGCATATCTTACCTTTTAAAAAGTATGAGCTTTCCTACAGTTTTTTGAACTGAGTATATTTTTATAACTGACACTGGAATGGCTTACTATTTCTTCTTGGGTTTTTTTTTTTTGGAGTATGATTTTTTTAATATTTATTTTTAGTTTTCAACATTCCCTTTTTTAAGATTTTGTATTCTAAAATTTCCCTCCTCCTTCCCCTTCTCCCTCCCCAAGATGGCATGCAATCTGATATAGGCTATACATGTATGATCATATTAAACATATTTCCACATTAGCTACGTTGTGAAAGAAGAATGAGAACAAAAGAGAAAAAACATGAGAAAGGAAAAACAATAAACAAAAGAAAGAGAAAATAATATGCTTTGATCTGCATTCAGATCCCATGGTCCTTTCTCTGGATGTGGATAGCATTTTCCATCAGGAGTCTTTTGGAGTTGTCTAGATCATTCCATTGCTGAGAAGAGCTAAATCTGTCAAAGTCGGTCATCACACAGTGTTGCTCTTACTTTGTACAGTGTTCTGTTTCTGCTCACTTCACTCAGCATCAGTTCATTCAGATCTTTCCAGGTTTTTCTGAAGTCCACCTCCTTACCATTTCTTCCATTACATTCACATACCACAACTTGTTCACCTATTCCCCAATTGATGGACATCCATCCCCTCAATTTCCAATTCTTTTGCCACCACAAAAAATGCTGCTATAAATATTTTCGTACATATGGGTCCTTTTCCCATTTTTGTGATCTCTTTGGGATACAGACCTAGAAGTGGTATTGCTGGACCAAAGGGCATGCATAGTTTTATAGCCCTTTAGGCGTAGTATGGGTTACTATTTCTAAACAAATGGCTCAGCTGCTGACATGAAAAATTGAGAATCACTTCTTTGCCCTACATAAATTGAACTCCAAAAATTATATTCTGAAAAGTGCTTGAGGAGAAGTCAAGAAAATATTAGTCTTCCCAATAAAACCAATTTATGCATACTTATTGACTGAAGTTATTCAAAATCTTTGTTAATTTAAACATTATGCTGTACTTGGTAATCTTTAGTACATCTATACAAATTAACATAGGTCCAGAGTTTGAGGGAATAGTATTGGGACTTGAAGTCTATGAAAAGTAAACATTTTCATTAAAACTGAAAGTAAGACTCAAAGCACTAGTGCTGTATTTTTTGTCAGACTGCTATAATATCTAGTGTTTTGTTGCTAAGATAGAAAGAGTGTAGAAAGGAGTGGTGAAGTTTACAAATATATTAGACCAGTCATTTTTGTATGTTTATATGTGAGCTGAATTAAATGAAACTTAAGTTGTTTATTTTATTTTCCTTATTTAGAGGATTTATTATTTTCTCTGCATCTTTTTGCTAGGTCTCTTCAATTTAGGATAATAGTAAAATAAATTCCTTCTAAAAGAGTAGTTGAAGTTATATGATTTTTTTTTGTTAAGTAGTGTGCATAGTTCCAAGTCATAAAGAATTTTTAAATGGCCTGTTTCTTTTTTTTTTTTGGTGGGGTAATGGGGGTTAAGTGACTTGCCCAAGGTCACACAGCTAGTAAGTGTCAAGTGTCTGAGGCTGGATTTGAACTCAGGTCTTTCTGACTCCAAGGCCAGAGCTTTATCCACTGCACCACCTAGCTGTCCCTAAATGTTCTATTTGAAATGAATTTTTAGTCTTTGTTTGGAGTGATTTTGGGGAAAAAATTTGTTCTCTTATTCTTCTTAAACAAGTATGAGCTCTCCATGTCCCTGCAGGGAGCCCTGTATTATTGCGAATATGATTCAGAAAATTAGTGGGAATATTGAATTCCTACTTATGCATTGTTGATAAAAATAGCTTACCAAATTTCTGTTCTTTTAAAATAATAAAACCAATCTTCTTCTTAATTTTCTATACTTTTTCATATTTGTCTTTCTCTAAATTTTATTTCTCCTTTATCTGTTATATTTCCTGCTTTGATTTTAATTGTACTATTTAATTTTATTGGCTTGTTAACTCTATATTAGCAGTCCTTCAAAATATAACTTACTGCATTGTTTTTGTTTTGATGTTATTTCTCAGTCCTGGATTTCTCATATTTATGCTTTGATTAACTTCAGAAGTGTTCTTGAAAATTGTATGAAAATACATTTTCATAAATCAAATCCTTTTTACCATTGATTTATAATTTCGAGAATGTTTTATATTTACGCCTCATTAATATTAAGTTGGTGTTCCCTCCCCCCATATTGCTCCCAAAACTTTAGCTTCAAATTGTTTCTCACTTTCTTAGTGAAATAGTCAATAGAAATCAAATGTTCAGATTGTTAAAATTCCATTAAATTTTTTGTGAAGACATTATGATGATTTTTAGAGTTTTGTTTTACTAGAATCTTACTTATTACTATACAATAAAAAGCTCCATCAGGATCCAAATTTCCTCTCCCTCCTCTCCTCTTTTCTGTCTCTCTGTCTCTCCTTTTCTTCCTCTTGGTCTCTCATCTTCTCCGTCCCTTCCTCCTCCTCTTCTCTCTTCCTCTCTGTCTCTGTCTCTTCCCGACCCTCTCTCCCCACTGCTTCACCCTACTCCCCACTCCTTGCCAATCTTTCCTCTTCTGAGCTGCTAAGTTGATAGTCCTATAGCACAATGCTGACAATATTCTGTCCCTGTTCAAGGAGTTCTATTAAACTGTCTTTGAAAGTACACACTCCTCAGACTGTTTAAAGACCTTCATAATCTAGTTCCTGACTATCGTCAGGGCTTATTGCACATAGATAGCTCTTTGATATACTCTGTTACAGCTGGCTGGTCTACTTGTTCCCTATGCAGCACTCCATTTCTTGTCTCTCTGACGTTGTACAGGGTGTCTATCATTGTACTTCTATCTTTTCCCTCAGAATTTTTCACCTTTTTAAAAAAAAATTTTTTTAAAGGCAATTGGGGTTAAGTGACTTGCCCAGGGTCCCACAGCTAGCAAGTGTCAGGTGTTTGGTCTGAGAGCAAATTTGAACTCAGGTCCTCCTGACTTTAGGGCCAGTGCTCTATCCACTGCGCCACCTAGCTTCCCCAGAATTTTTCACTTTCTTTAAGGCTTTGCTCATGTGTCACCTCTTACAGGAATCCTTTCCTTCACAACCACCCTTTACCTCAGGTGCTGTGCCATACCCTTTAAATTATTTTATATCTGATTTGAATCTATTTATATGTACTTTTTTGTCCCTATGCTGTTTTCTCCCAATAGAATGTAAGCTCCTTAAGGCAGGGACTGTTCTTGTCTTTGTATCCCCAGCACTAAACAGCAACAGCATTTATGTAGTGTTTTAACGTTTTCAGAGTTTTCCAAATATTATCGAAAAGGTGCTTAATACCACACAGTAAACTTGGCTTTTGAATGATTAAATTTGAGAGAATGATTCATGATGCATGCCAGTTGATCCTAGAAAAACTCTATTTATAGTATAGTAGTTAAATTTTTTTATAATGGCGTAAGTTTCTTAGCTCATAATTCACTAACAAATGAATTTTTACTTTATAGGAATAGTCAGATGCTTGATGAAGATGATCTGTTCAATGAATCACCCACATCCCTTGTAAAGAGCTTTCCTGTTGCTATTGAATGTGCTAATTCTCCAGCGGAACCAGTGTCACATTGTACCAAACATACTAATTCGAGCCGGTGCTCAGAGCTGGAGGAAACAATGGAAGTAGCCATGCCAGTCACTATACCCCAGAATAATTTGGTGAGAACTTTTTAAGATTTGATCCGATTTTTAGAAGTCCTTTGGATAGGACAGGAGAAAAGTAGAAGTAGGCATGATATAAGCAAGGCAACATAGATTTCTGTATTTGACCTGCTTTCCAATCTAATCTTTTAAGAAATGTCAAACATTTAGAAGGTCAATAAAGGTGGTGAGTTCTTTCAAAGCATTTAGCAACTTCCCTGAGTAGTTAATAATGGATTATTTAATGATGATTCCATATGAAATAACTAATTCTGAATTTACAGGTATAGTTGTATTGGTAAGTTATTTAGAAATAGTATTACTAAGAGAGGCAGTTTGAATGTGATATAGGAGGCAGAGTGTTGGAGTCAGAGTCAGTTAAGACCTGCATCGAATCCTGTTGCCAAAGTGAGGTCTCACTCTGGCTGGGTTCCTCACCTTGATAAAATCACGTGTCCTTTTGTCTACCACATAACTTCTAATTTTATTAAATAAATACTTTTCCAGCTTCTTCCTGCAAAATATAGAAACAGTAGTGAGCAACCAAGCTGTATCCAGAGGAAACGAATCCTCCCACCTTGGATGGTTCAAGGAGATCTGAATGTTCAAAACCTTGAGGTGCCATTTGCCCAGGAAGGTACATTTATCTTTCTGCTACTAATAGAATAAATTCTTCAGAAGGAATTTAGCTATGATAGTTAATGAGTTATAAATCATAATTTTTAACCTTTATCTAATATTAAAAGAATTTTAGAAGTTCACACAAAGGCTAGGTTAAAAGACAAGTTATTGTTTTGTATTTTATCATTTGTATTTAGCTGATTATTTTTGAAACAAGGGATTTCTTCTACTACATCTATGATACTAAATTTGTCATATTAATAAAAATTCAAAGCCTAATGACTTGACCTGTACTACTGAGTTATCACTGCTCTTCTGCTGGCAGATACTTTGGTTAGAGATATAATATGCCAAGGAAATATTCAATCTTCATAGAGTTGACCTTGCATATTTCAGCCTAATAAGAGATGGAAACATTACAGTAACAGTCTGACCAACTGAGTATTCCCATTGTTTTATTACTGTAATAACAGATGTAGAATTTTTGAGTTCTGAAGGTCCTTAGAGATGATCTAGTCCAAAGCTTTATTTTACAGTTGAAGAAACAGTCTCAGAAGTTAAAAGCCTTGTTCAAGATTACTTTTACACAATTATTGGACGAGTGGGGCCTAGAAATAGGTCTCCAGACTCCTAGTCTAGTATTTTTTTCCACAATAAAAATGAGCAATACTGTTTTTATAGTCAGCTGCTATTTCTTCCACTTGACTAACTAGGGAAAAAATATACCTTTTTATAAACTTTACCTTAGATTGTGAACAACAGAGTTTCAGGTGGGATCTTATAATGCAGACTTAAAAGAACATTTACAGTTGGGAAAACCTGTTTGGCACTTAGAGCTCTTCAGCACCTGGCTCCTTCCCACATTTCCCATTTTCTCTAATTTTCCTTTCCTTCGTGTACTTTATGATGCAGCCTACATGCTGATCTCTACATATGCACCACCTCCACATAGCCTTTGCTATGCCCTGCTTCTGAAATGCCATTCCTTCCTCACCTCTGTCTCTTCTTGATATCCCTGAATTCTTTCTAGTTCCAAGATAGTAGTTCAAAGGCCTCCTTCTCTAGGAGGTCTTTTCAGCCCGACCTCCTCCCCTCTGCGCTGAATTGATGGCCTGGAGGTAGAAAAATCCATTACATGCTAGCCCTTGTGGTCGAATCCCTCTGAGTCACTCTTTCCTGATAGCCGAACTGCTAGTGCCTTCCCTCAAAGCTACCTTGTAGTTAATAACTTGATGTTTTTTGAAGATATTTTTCACTACGTATACTTGAGAGTCCACGTGAGGTAGTGCAGAGCGCAACCCATGAGCCACATTTCAGCCTCACAAGGCCTGTTTGGACCCAAGCCATATTAAAATACAATTGGGAAATATTGAACAAAATAAATAAAAATACAGTAGAACACAGTAATAATTTGTGGTTTTCTAAGTCAGTATGTGACTGTAAGGATCCTGATGTATGGCTTAGTGGATCCCACTGCTATTTAAGTTTGATGCCACTGATACAGTGCCTAGAGAGCCAGCCTCTGAGCTAAGAAGACCTGGGTTCAAGTTGTGACTAATGCCTGCTGACTGTGCAACCCTGGATGAGTCACTTAACCTGGCAGTGGTTTAGGCAGCTCTGACACTTGAAGTCATAGATCTGCACTAGTAGAGGAAGTTCCTTACCAGGTCAACCATAATGATAAAATCACAGGCCATCTCTGAATCTGTATACACTTATACATGTGCTCATCTAACTCATCAGAAAATGAGCTCCTTTGGGTGGGGATTTCTTTCATTGCGTTTTCTTAGAAGTCTGTGCTGTTATGATATCATTCTTCTGACTTCATTTAGGCCAGCTAAAACCTTCTTGTGTTAAATTTCTTTTTTTTAAGGCAGGGAAATATTTTCTGGTATAGCCTTTATAATCAGTTATTAAGTATTTATTAAACACCTGCTGTGTACCAGGCTCTGTGCAAGATGCTGGGGTTACAAATACAAAGAATGTGTGTGTGTGTGTGTGTGTGTGTGTGTGTGTGTGTGTGTGTATGTATATACGTATATACACACATACATACAGAATAAGTATAAATAGGATATGCATAAATAAATATAAGCTAGTTAAATACAAAGTAACTTAGGAGGGAGGACATTAGCAGTGTAAGGCTTCAAGGAGGTGATATTTGGATTTCATGATTAAGGAAGAGATTAATTTTATGAGGTAGAGTTAAGAGAGTGCATTCCAGGCATATGTGTGTGTGGCAAAGTCACGGAGATAGGAGATGGAATTCCATATATGAGGAATACGTATATCAGCTGCAACTTAAGTAAGAAGAGTCTTCTCTACAATCCCAAATTCCAGGTTTTGTTTTTAGTTCAGCACAGATTTGGGCTGTAGCAGCACCTTGCACAATATATATTGGGAATATTGTACAATAACAATATTCATATGGATGATCTGATGTTCCACAGAGTCCTGTAGAATCTCTGAATCATCCAAGAATACAAACAATATTCACAGTAGTTAGTCCAGCCCCAGCTTTACCACTTAGTAGCAGTGTGACCATGAACAAGTCAATTAGGGGAATCAGATTTAGTTTCCTCATTTAAAAAAAAAAATTTTTTAATTGAGAAAGTAAGTAGTAGGTGTGTTGTATCTCCATGCGGGGAGCTCCTGGTACAGAATTACTTTCCCCCAATGCGGAAGAGCAGCTCATTTGTAACTTAGTTTTACAAAGTTGCCAGGGTCCTGGAGAGGTTAAGAGACTTGCTCATAGTCACATAGCTAATTTACTATGAATCACCGATCTAAAGTTGAAAGAGATCTCAGAGGCCACCTAACCTCTAACCCCCTCATTTTTACAGAATAGGAAACTAAAACACAAGGAAATTGTCTGATGCAAGGTTGCACAGGTAGTAAGCATTAGAAGCAGAATTTGAACCCAAGTCCTCTGACCCTCAAGAGCCAGTGATTTTTCTACTACGCCAGGAGTCACAGGCTCATGTCTCCCAGAATGCAAGGTTAGTTGGCAAGCTACCACACCACTAACCTCACAAGATTACTTTCAATGTGAAATAAAGTAATACATATATTATGCTTCATATGATCAGGTATACGAAAGTCAGCTCTTGTTACTTCTGTGCCTTAGTCTTCTGCAAAGGAAGCTATATGCTACTCTATTTAAAGACAAATATATTCCTAAGTTATATTAAAGTGCTGTCATGATTAGCAATCAGTCAGTCAACAAGCAGTTGTTAAGTGCCAGCTATGGTGCAGACTGTGCTTTGCACTGAGGAGCGTATAAACTAAAGAAATGAAACCTTCTCTACTCTCAAAAAACTAAAGTTTATATTTATGTAGAATTATGCTATTGTAAATGGAGAATGCATTAAAGAGTGTTCTGAATTGTGACTCTGTCGTAAAAAACGATTATATGCCTAAGTGGAATGTGATAGTGATTAACTAGTACTTAAGCTACTGAAGGATTTTAGTTTGAATTATGCGTTAAAATGACAATTGTTTCTATTTTTAGACATATTTCAGGCATCCTGCTTGGAGATATTTGTGTAGAATGAGGTGATATTTTCATGACTTCTTTTTCTTTCACTAAAGCCTTATTCTAGTGTTTCACTATGATGTGGAAGTAGCCTTACCAAGCAAGAAAAGTCAGCTGATGAGACTGTATTATCTACTGTATGACAACCAGCCCGTATATTTTAGGAAAGATTTGTAAGCAGAGTTGGCTGCCTAGTTATTATTGCCACAACAAGGAGATGTCTGAATGCAAGAGATTGGGACCTGTATTGCTAGGGTAGTACCCTCAGCAAAAACAGGGCTTTTTGAAATAACAGAGGAGTATTGGATCTTTTATTGAATGCAAAACCAGTCTACCTTTTGGCTAGGAAGTATCTTGGAAGCAGCTTGGTAAAATGTACACGTTAACAATGAAAGTTTCACTGTTTCCCCCAGCAGTTAGCACTGTGCCTGGTACACAGTAGACCAGGCCTGCACAAACTACGGCCCACGGGCCATTTACAAGTTGCAGGCAGGCCAAAGAATTTCTGGCGACTCACAGAAAATGTAGAGGATATTTTCCTCTATATTTTTTGCAGGCCACCCAAAATCCTTTGACGTGACGCAAGTGTCCTGCGAGCTACAGGTTATGCAAGCCTGCAGTAAATAGTGAATGCTTATTGACTTGACTTTTTAAAGAAAGTTTCTATTTTTTACCCCTGAGAGGGCCAGTTCCTCAAAATATTTCAATTGTATTCACATTTGGCTTTATATTGCCTGTGGTATGGCTTCAAATATATTAAGCCATAGTTTATTGATAAAATTTTGAATTGTCTGTCATTTATGGGGAGGTCATAATTCACATAAAATGACATTTATCTCCTTAGTGCCTACACATATATAAAATTTATTAACATTGCTGGTTAAAAGCTCTTTCCCATGAGAGAACATTAATTTAGCATGTAGACAATGGTGTAGGATGATGCCATCTGGATCTAGGGTTGCAGGTCCCTAGTTTGAATTCACTTCTCTAGGCTTCTCTCTCCACCTTGTGAAAGGGAGGAGTTGGATTGATGGTTGAAACCACTTTCTGTTCTAAATCTGTGATCCTATTTGCCTGTGACTTCTCTACTAGAAAAATCAGACATTGAAATTCAAAACCACTTTGTAAATAATTATTGGACAAGTTGGCATTAATATAAATGAAAAATTAGTTTAATGTGATCATATTACCTAGTGAAGTTTATAGTACATAATTTATTTTTTAAGATAATGAAACAACAAAAGGAAGAATCTGCACGTATCCAACATCATCAAAAAGAAACAAAAGGTTGTCTTCCTCAGAAAATTCAGAAAATATTGAAGCAGAACAAGACCCAAGGAAAAAGTGCAGGGTTACTGATCAGGAAGAATCTACCAGTTCATCAAAGGTAATTTTTTTTTAAATTTAGTTTTTCTTTTTCTTCTATGGGTGTTCTGTATGGGGAGAGTGTATTATAGCATGGTCATGTCAGTGTGAAACAGAAGTGTTTATAGTTCCATTGTTACAGGCATATATTTACTAAAATATCTAGATAGTACAAAATTCCCCTTTGCTTTTTGTTTGTTGATTATAGAAAAAAAGTATTTGACTTGGTAGAGCAAAATTCTATCCTAAAGGCTCTGTTCCAATAAGGTCTCCCAGTCATTTGTCAAAAATCATAAAAGATTCCTTTAAAGAACACAAACATTTTTATTCAGTGATTATTAATGTTAAGTCAGGTATAAAGTAGGGAGTTATGCTCATCATGGGTGTTTGTACTGTTGAGGAGGGCCAGAGTCCAAATGGAAGAGGGATTCTAGATTCTGAGGGCTTCAGATGCTTCTATTTATAGTTGAGACTCTGGTAATTGCACTGAGACCCAAAACATAACAGAGTCTACTAAATTAGGCCCCTAATCACTCAAAAGAGTCCAAACTAACCTGTCACTTGGAACAACCAAGTGGATGAAGAATGCCTGTTGTCTAAATTATGGTATATAGTTGAATGGGCAACTAATAGGTCAGGTCTATCATTAGCTATAGACACTGGTTATACATTATAGCTGGGCAGTGAATCTGGCCCAGAATGTAGTATGAGAGAACAAGAAAGACTGCCTTTAGGAAATTATTCAGTATTTGTTATAATCCAAACTTGTTGAAACAAGGGCTTATTTTTTTAGTACCAGTGTTCATACAGTGATACTCTATGGCTAAGAGTCATACACTACCACAATCTCTGATGCAGTGAATTTGTGGAACACTTGGAGAACGATGTATATATACAACTAGAGCAAGAATAAACTGTATCATGTTACCAAGGAAGAATTATGCAATAGAAGCAGCAGATAGGATGATCAGGAAAGGAGATGGGCCAGTCATGTCATGAGAGCTGGGGATGATTGACAGCCTGCTTGACTGGAGGCACTATATCAGGAGACACTCCCTCTTTGGAATCCTTCTTCATCTATTGTTTGAATCCCTTGATGCCGGGGCTGTCTTCTGCCTCTCTTTGTATTCCCAGAGCTTAGCACAGTGTCTGACACATAGTCAGTGCTTAATAAATGCTTTCTGATGGACTGACAAGAGTCAAACAGAATAAGAAAGCATGGATGGTTTTTGATCTGCCCTGTTGGAGGGAATATGTACCCAGGTCAGTGAGATCATAAATCCCTTGAAGTAGAGAATAGCTGTAGTGAAAAAAATGTATGTTTCTATTATGGACAATTTTGGTATTCACAAGGAAAAAAATTAAAATTTCAACTTTTGAGATCTGATCTTTTTAACTCAGGAGAAGCACTGTACTAGCAATATGACCTGGGCAAATCACTTAACTGTCTGGTGTTCTAGGCATCTCTCTAAAGATTGGGAAATGATCTGTAAGGGATGCAGTAGAGAGCCAACAAAATGAATCCTGTAATTTTAAGCTTCCTTAGTAAGGACATGTTAACAATTTTTTTATTTGTCTTTATAGGAAGTGAGTGGATCATCTGTTGTAATAGGTGTGAATAAAACAGAAATGACTAAAGCCAAGTCTGAAAGATCTGAAATCCCAGGAGAGCAGATCAGTGAAAATCTCCATGATGAGGAGTGTGAACATAGAACATCTCCTAGAAGCAAAAGAAATAAGATGGATGAATATGAAAAAGATGTGCCCATGGAATATTCTGGGAATCCCAAGAGTCACCATGACAACTTATTCCACAATAAGGACCCAGAGCTTGACCCAGAACTGAGCTCTGATCTTGAAGCCTCGAGTTCAACTACAAGCATAGCTGTTCCACAAGATTCTGGGGAAAATCATTCCAAGAGAACACCTTGCATTTATGGAGCAAGTTGCTACAGGTAAAAAGGGATCGCATACAACGGAACTCTGTATATTACCAGTCTCATTACACTAAGAATATAGATATATTAGACTAGGACAAAGCATGTCCCCTGAAATTTGAAAAAGGCATGATTTAACGCATTGGTTTATAAAGTGGTGGTTCAGTTTTGAAAAACCAAAATCTTGAAAATGTTTTATTCTGCTTTGATAGATTGTCAACTCTGTAATTGACATTTTTATAAAAATCATTTTATAAGGTTTTGGAATTCAGGGGTGGGCAGAATATTTGTTCATGACCATAATACTTATTAATATAATACATAACCCAAATTCTAGGGTAATACTGAAAATAGCCTAATGATAAAATGTAACAAAAAAGTTAAATAAGTCTAATCTAGGCATATGTTACCTCTGATCTTTTTAGACACAGAGACATGGTAACCAACCTAGCATAGGCCCTCATCATTTCTTGCCTGCCCTGATTCCATAGTAGACTCTTACATGATATCCTGCCTCAAGTCTCACACCTTTCCAATCTGTGTTCAAGCTGCCAAAGTGATTTTCCTTCCCTAGCCAGTAAAGTCCAGTGGCCCTAGAGCCTGTTGCATCTAGAAGAAACACAATGTGGTCCCCACCCACCATTTTAGCTTTATTAAACATTACAGTCCAGCCAAACCAGCCTTCTTCCTCATGCCCAACTTTACATCTCCCTTCTTTGCATCTTTGCACTGGCCATTCCGTATGCCCAGATTCGAATCCCTCCTCCTCTCAGCCTTTTGAATCCCTCATTTCCTTCAAGACTCAGTGTAGTTATCACCTTCTACGTGAAGTCTTTCCTGATCTTCTCTCATACTAACTCCTTATGATCTTACTCTCAAAATTATCATGTATTTATTTTGTATATATATTCTGTATAGACTTGTTTATCTTCCTTGGTAGTATGTAAGCACTTTGTCTTTCTGTCTCTAGTACCTAGCACAGTGCTCGACACACAGCAGGCGCTTAATAAATGCTTGTTGATGTTTAGCTTGTTGTTGATCCCTGTGATTGCTCTTTGTATTTTTCTAAGTATGCTCTTGGATCTGCTTAGTAGCTTTCATGGCGGCTGAATGTGTTATGTTGTTGTTTTACCATTCCTGCACTTTATGGTGCTACAACCTAATGGGATTGAAAAGGTCGCAGAGCTCCTTATTTGAATTCTAGTCTTTTATTTCATCTGTTACGTTTTGTGTCACTTTTTTGCATTAAACACAAGACTACAATGTCTTGCTGATTTCTGTGACATTATAAAGGAAATGTGGTTCATTTATTATTACTTGTTAGTGAACCTAGAGTTCCTTCTGATTACTGCTTCCACTTCCATGCATAAAGCTTCAATGATTTGCTTAATAATCAAATTTGCTATTCTGCGCTTTCTATGTGCCAGGTTTTGCACTAGGTGTTTAGGATACAAAGACAAAAGCACCTCACGTAGAAGGTGGCTCCTGAACTGCTCTGGAAGGAAACAAGATGGCGTTTAGGAGGGAGAGAATTCAGGAGATAGCCAGAAAGGCATGGAGATAAGATAGAGATGACTGTGTGTGAGGACAAGCAAGTAGGTAGTATAGCTGGATTGTAGAGGGAATGAAGGGAAGGTGTTAGTCTGGAAAGGTAAGATGGGGCCATGTGGTGAAGAGCTTTAAGTGGAGAAAAAAAGAATTTCTGTTTGATCCTAGAGCTAATTGCAGTATACTGGAATTTACTGAGTGGGGGTTATAGGCAATGACATGGTCACAACCACACTTTAGGAAAATCACTGCGTGCTGAGGATAGATTGAAATGGGGAGAGATGTGGCAGGGAAACTAAGTAGGAGGCCTTACAGTAGTCTGAATAAGAGGTTGTGAGGGCCTGAATTAAGATGGTGAAGAGGAGGCGTGTGTGAGAGATGGTCTGCAGATCTAAATGACAAGATTTAGCTACTGATTGAATACATCTGGAGAATGAGTGAGTACTCAGAGGTGACAATGTGATTGGGGGCCTGGGTGACTGGCTGGATGGTGATGCTTTTGATAGGGAAGTTTGGGAGAGTTGTTTGAGTTGAGATATTGAGTTGAGATGCTTATGGAACATTCAGTTCAGAATGCCCAGAAGGCAGTAGGTGGTAATGAACTGGAGCTCGTAGAGTGGATAATTAAACCCTTGAGAGCTGCTAAGGTCACCAGGTGAGATTTTGTAGAGAAAAAAGAAAAACCTAGTATATTCTCTTCTGGCACCACATTGCAGACGTGAGTCCCTTAACTTCTTTCTTAAGGTTTTTATTTCACTGTATTTATTGTCTTTGATAATGGATACATCGTTGCTTTCTTTCCCCTTGGTCTTCTGTCTGGGTTATGCTCAGTGTCTTCTACAATAGCCAGATTTATGCTAGCCAGGTGTAGTTATATCACTTGCTTTGTCTTTCTCCATTTTCAGTTGAAAGCCCACATGACCAGAACAAATCTCTAGGCAAATACTTCTTTTCAGCTCTTGCAAAGAATTTAAATAATTTGCCCATATTTGGTGTTAATAACAGATTTAGCTCTAATAAATTCTAGCTTGTAAATCGTTTTAAAACTAGTTTTCAGTAAGTGTAATATTCAAATATTCTTCCTGAAAAGTATTTACCACCAAACGTTTGCAAACTAAAATCTTTTCAACAGCCTCTTCAACAATATGCAGTAAATAGGGGTTGGATGAGAAAGGGCAGCTGTGTTGGGCAGCAGCAGACAGGTATATTTAAGAATGAGTGATCCTCCAGAGAATATCCAGGGTAGCTACATAGTGAGCAGTTCTGCAAAACCCAACACTTTAAGAAGTGATAGCTGTGTTGGCAGTATTGCTAATCTTTGCTATGAGGTGAAAGCCCAGAATTTCCTTAATTTATGTTTCTCCAATAAAATGATTTAGAGCGTTCTTTCATATTGTTGCTGATAAATATTCTTCCTTTGAAAATTGCCTGTTCATATCCTTTGATCATTTATTTATTGAAGAATGACTTTTGTTATTATAGATTTAAATTAATTCCTTATATAGCCTGATTATGAATCTTTTATCAGAGAAACTTGTTGCAAATATTTTTCCTAGTTAACTGTCGTATCGTAAATTTTAATTGCACTGATTTTGATAATGCAAAAAAACTTTGAAATTTTATGCAATTAAAATTATTCATTTTATCTTCTCTGATCTTCTCTGTCCCCCGTTTGAACATGAACTCTTCCCCTAGCCATAGATCTGAAAGGTAGTTTCTTCCTTTTGTTTCTATTTTGTTTGTGATGTCACCCTTTTTGTTTAATTTGTGTATCCATTTGGAGCTTATCTTGTTGTACAGAGTGGGATATTGGTACAGTCCTATTTCCGCTGTTGCATGCTGACTATTCAAGAAATTTTTCTCTAAGACATATTAATCCAGTTCCCTTTTCTCCAAAAGCATTATTTCTGAATAAACAGGAAAATATGTGTGGTGTATCATAATTTCTTAGTGTTGAAAAGGTCTTTAATGATAATTGAATCCAATTGTTCCCACCATTTTAACAAAGGAAGAAATTTTTAAAAGATAAAACTTTTTCTTTTTTTTTTTTTTAAAGAAGTTTGACTTCCTCAGTTTGGGAGTGTGTAGTCATTTCCTTACATGTGTACATTTCATTCTTTACAGCAGGGGTCAGCAACAGCACTAGGTATGAGAATAGAAAATGGGAGAGAGAAAAAAAGGAGATTCTTATGGTAAGGCTCGTAGGATGCTACTAAAACCAGTCATGTAAGAATATGTTAGAACTTGTTCTTTCTTAACAGTGGCCTTCAGGAACTCAGGATCACCTCCATACTATGATGAAGCATCAGCTTTTATGAAGGCCTGTTATTATTCCTGTAGAGAAGAAGGAAATAAACATTTACATAACACCTACTACGTACCAGACACTTTGCTAAATGCTTTTTACAAATATTATTTCATTTGATCCTCAAAATAACCCTGCAAGGTAGGTGCTATTATATCTCCTTTTTATAGCTGAGGCATCTGAGACAAATAGAAGTTAAGTGACTTGCCCAGAATCCCACAGGTGTCTGAGGCCAGATTTGAACTGAGATCTCTACAATTCCAGGCCTACCGCTCTATCCACTACATCACCGGCTGCTTTTGCCAAGTCAGACCACTATCACTACCTTGACCACCATGTCCCCTCACATCACTTGATACGGACAGCTCGAGACCTTGACCTCAGTAGCCTTGAGAATAGCTTAGACCTTGCAGCCATCATCTTGGGAGACAACCCCTGTGGAGATCAGCCTGGCAACTGTTCCTGTGGGTAATGCAGCCACGGCTACTGAAAACCCAGAAGAGAAAGTTCTTGCCAAAGTCCTTGGCACTCTCATGTGATTCAGCAATAGAAACTGATATTATTTTATCAATGGAACTGTCATTAAAGAAGAGTTGTTATCATCTGCTTAGTTGCTGTACCCTGAGGACCATGGGACCTTTACATCTGACTTATACCTGAAACCTTCCATATGTGTTACTTCCCCCATAAGAAGATAAGCTCCCTGAAAGCAGGGTCTGCCATACTCTTCTATTTGTATTCCCAGAGCTGAGCACAGGGTTTGTACATAGTAAGGACTTAATAAATGCTCTATTCATTCATCACCTGTATCTACTTTACTTGTATTTCCCAGTTATTATCACATTCTTATTAGAATGCATTGTATTCCTCTGGGGGAAAGTAACAAGGTTCAGACATAAATATGTTCTGTGAAATATATGTGTGCCATCAAATGAGATAATATTTGTAAAAGCTTAGCTCAGTTTGGCATGTAGTAGATGACATATAAATGCTTAGGGGCAGTTCTGGGAACAACAGAGGAGACAGTGCCCTTTGCTAGCGTAGGGCTGGGATCCCAACATCAGACTAGGAATCTAACGTCTTTGTTTTGCCATGAAACTCCGGTACCTGGCTCACAGGAGCATCAGGAAGCTGGGGTTCCACAGCGACACCTGGTGTCACAATGCTTACATTACATGAATACATACAAAATGAATACCCTCTTGTCACCTAATACTTCATTCCAAGAGATTAAACTGACTTTTTCTAAATTTGCAACTTAAAATTTTTTCTGAATAATTCATACATGTAAAAAACCATTCATTTTTGGTTATATCCATGTTCTTATTTCAGTAGTGAACTTTTAGAACAGAATCAGTCAATCAAGATAGAAGCTGCAAACACCCTGTATTTTCTCATCTTGTCCTTTAACTTTCAGATTTAACTGCAAGTAGATAATTATTATCCAAATACTTGATTTCTGGCTAGTCACTTTTAAGAAATAAAATTCTATTTTATTCCAAAAGTATTGAGTATCCATTGTCATAAATTCACATACTTAAAAAGAATAAAACCTTTCTTTCTTACAACAGGAAAAATGTGTTCTACATTTCTTTTACCTTTTGAATACTGTATTCAATTTATCCAAACAACATACTTAATATAACCAACAAATAAAACATATAAACCATTAAAAATGTTATAATATTCTCTTATGTGCTTAAGTTTTATCAGCAAATATTTGTAGTCTTGAATTAATGCCAAATTTTTTTTTTTGCTTTTGATAGGTTTTTTCTTTCAATGGTCATTTAAGATTTTCAGTGGAATTCAGTTTTAAAGAAAGACATGAGAACCTAAATTTTGTCTCTTGATTTGAACTGCCATACCTTCTTCCAATGACTGACCAAACCAAAGTAACTTAGCTTTCATGTGTTGTTTCTTATGGTTATGGATGATTTTCATTTTTCGTTAAGTAAATATTTATTAAATTATCATCAACTGCCAGGCACTGGAAATAAAAAGATAAAGTTGACAAAGGCTCTGCCTTAGAGGAGACTGTCGGAGAAGAAGCTTGGCGAGAAGATAGAACATATAAGGCATGCCAAAAGTCTTAGATCTGGCTTAAGCTGTTAAAGCTATTTAAGCTTAAAACTGCAATAAGACTTTTGGGACACTTGTATTTAAAGATCTACACAAAAAAAGGCAGGCTCTTAAAGTCTTGTGTAGTAGAACTTTGAAATTATCAGTGATTTCAGTGATACCAATCACAATTCCATCCAAATCCTAGTAGATGGCTTCATAAATTGCTGCTTAGCTAGATTGGCTCTCTCATGACACACAGTCTGTTACTAATGTCTCAACTTTAAATATTCTGTACTTGAAATCTTTTCCGTTTAGGCCCTGACATAGATTGGGCTCTGTGGACATAGTCTTTGAGAACCCAGTGTCAACCTCCATGTCACAATAAGGCATCAGAGTGGGATAATTAGTGGGAGATTTCTTATTAGTAGTCTAAAAGTTCAGAAATACTAACTACATTTGAAACTTTTATCTTTATAAGGCCATTTGTCTAATGAGGACTATAAATTTGGTAAAAAAAAAATTAAGTATCGGTAAAAACTAGATTGATGTTCTTGACCCACTGAATGTGATGATCTACAGCATTCCGCATTGACCGAGTGGCATAAAAGAACCTTCTTTTAAAAATGAATTGCCTATGAGGTTGGAGTTGCCCAACATTTGAGTAAAAAATGTTTCAAATTTTACAAATTCTTGTCTCTAACAATGTATTTATTGAATTCATAGGAAGAACCCTGTCCATTTTCAACAGTTCAGCCACCCTGGTGATAGGGATTACAGAGATGTGCAAGTCATGAATCAAGATGAGGATGACAACAGACCTGAATGCCCATATGGAACTTCTTGTTACAGGTACGTAAATCTGTGAATGTCTGATAGTAGTCTTCGTTTCTGAAGGGACGTCTACAGGATAGCAGAGCATCTTTGTACATAGATTCTAGCTCTTGTTGCTGCTGCTGCTGCTGCTGCTGCACTCAGGGTGTCATTTTGTTGTTGTTCCGTCATCTTCAGTCATGTCCGACTCTTCGTGACCCCATTTGCAGTTTTCTTGGCAAAGATACTAGAGTGGTTTGCCATTTTCTTCTCCAGCTCATTTTACAGATGAGGAAACTGAGGCAAACAGGGCTAGGTTAAGTGACTTACCTGGGGTCACATAGCTAGCATCTGAGGCCAGATTTGAACTCATGAAGGTGACTCTTCCTGGTTCCAAGCCCAGTGTTCTGTCCGTTGTGCCACCTAGCTGCCCCCCACTGTGCTTCCTCGCTCATATTGTTAGCACATTAAAATTTTTGGATTAGGATAACCCATGTTAAAATTTTTTTTGAATAATAGTATATAATTTCTCTGGACAGTTTTGGTATTCTATCACTGTTTTTATTTGTGTAGACATCTGCATTGCTCTCTTTTGCCTAAAATATATTTATTACAATCAGTAACCTTCCCCATTGAGGTGATTGCAGGCTTACCCAGAAAGGGTACTTAATCTCTGTCCATAAAGGTCTTTCAAAATAGGGATCATAGGATCATAGATTTAAAGCTGTAAGGAGGTCAACTCATTCAGTTCCCTCATTTTATAGATGAGAAAACTGACTTCCAAAGAGGTTGGGGGTCTTGCCCAAAGTCACTCTGACCATAAATAATGGCACTAGAATCTGCATTCAGATCCCTTGATTCCAAGTTCAGTACTCCCACCTACAGCAACTGTTTCTGCTGTGCTGTGCTGCCTCCAACCAGCCATCTTAGGTGATAAATGTGATCTGGGTTAATTAAGGGGGTGACCTCTTGATGTGCTTGTTAATCCTAATACTATAATTTTTAACAGGAAGATGAGAGTAATATTCAAATATTAGGGAAAATAAGTTGGCAGGCTAATGTCTACTCCTTCTAGAATGTGTTCCTCTTACTTGACAGGTTGCAATGTGTCTTTAATCTAATTTTATTTTGACCCTTATAAGCTTTACATAAGCTTTACAGTGGGGCAGGTAGATGGCCCAGTGGACAGAGTGCTGGACTTGGAGTCAGGAAAGATTGTCTTTCTGAATTCATATCTGGCCTCAGATAATTACTAACTGTGTGACCCTGGGCAAGTCACTTAATCCTGTTTGCTCCAGTTTCCTCACATGTAAAATGAACTGAAGAAGGAAATGGCAAAGTACTCCAGTATTTTTGCCAAGAAAACTCCAAATGGGGTCATGAAAGGCGGACACTACTGAAACAACTAATCAACAAAACTTGACATTACCTGAAGTAGTATTGGCCACTTTTCTATCAGTTTGAATTGACTGAATTTTCTGTGTCTGTAATTCCTTTACTAAATGTGCTTTAAATTGATTTTTTTACACTCAGAAAATATGTGTGGTACTCAGAACTTTATTTGTAATACAGAAGGCTTATAAAATGTATTTGAAAGTATACTTAGAAACTTAAATTTTTAAAAGGAATCATTTTGTCAGACTGATTCTTGAATGCACATAGATGGACATCTCAGTTTTGGAGAACAGATTCTAGGCTTAGCTTTCCAACCACAGACAAACATTTTCTAGACTCTACAGCATACTAATGAAATTAATATTATATTATTATATCAATTATTATTATTATTATTATTATTATTATTAATTTACAAATTATTAATTTGTAATCCACCTTTTCCCCTTTATTTCTGTTAAAACTCAACTCCTGAAAAGGTCAATCAACCTCTGGACTGATGAGATTTGCTCCCAGCCCTCAAGGCTCATGCTCATTAACTAGATGGGTGGAATCCTACCTAGCTGGGAGACCTAATTTCTGTTTAGAGTATAAGCAGAATCTAATCTGGGTGAGCCTTTACCTGCAGTAGGAACCCCTTGTCCTTGATGCCTTCCATTAGAGTTTAGGGTAGCTCAGCTCATGAAGGAGAAAACTAACTAGAGAGGTCTGGATTAGAAATGGCTCCCCCCTTGCCCAGATGCTTGAGATGGCTGAGTCTCATGAGCAAACCATATTCTCAGCAGGAGAAGCTGAAGACTTTCAGCCCACCTCCTTGTTAAATGTCCCCCAATCAAGGTTGATTTTCACTTGTCAGGGGAGTTCCCTTTCAGAAGTAATTTAAGGTGTTTCAGAGTCTACTCTGGTATCTTTGGTTACCAGGAGAAACCACTGACCATCAATTTATTGATTTCTGGATAGCCTGATTAATAAATTGATTATTAATTACCCAGAAACTCTGCTTCTTGGGGATCTCATTCATCTCACTAGGGGCTGTTTGTGAGAGCAATGTTTATACTTAGAGAATAGGAGAGCCTACAAATGAAGTGAATACTTTTGTTTTGTTACATGGAAATTTTTCACTATAACAAAGGCATTATACAATTTTTATGATCTTAGTCTTTCTGTCTTGCCTTTGTACAAGACCAGAGGAGAAATGTTTGCCACTTTTAAAGTGGCACTCCAGGACTCTCACCAGCAGCATGAGATTTCAGACCAAATCCAGCAACCAAAGCCTCATTGTTTTTCTCAGTAAAGTTCAAGCAGCCATCTTTGAGAACAAAGGCAGAGTTTTTAGGGGTATTTTGCCATTCTTACTTAGCTGACTCTTAAATACTTCCTGGTGGCAGAATTGTGCTACTTGGTTTTCTGGGATTCTCTTCCAAATGAGTTGGCCTCCAGGGCAATGCCCAAATGGGTTTTCTTATACTATTTGTCATTCCACTTTTGATATTTTCTGTAATTATGGAACTTTCTAGTTGTGCAAAGACATGACACTTTCCATGTTGTTGTGGTCTAGGACTGACAAAAAGAGAACTGAAATGGGTATTTTTTAAAGAATTTCTACATCTTTGTTTTTAAAACTGTTTCATAAATTTTTCACCTATATAAAAGATTACAGGTAGATAAAGTCCCTAAAAAAGAAGCTATGAGTAGACAAGTAAGAGATTCCAAGAATATTAGCTTCAAGGTGCTATGGGATGATTTCCCTCCTCCTTCTTTCTCTAGTTTTTATAATTTATATGAATCATTAAACCGTAATAATTTGTCTTTTTTGAGCAAAAGAAGAGCAATACAGAAAGCCAAGAAGAATGACTTCTAAAACTTCCTGTAAAGTTAGATCTAACAAAACCTTAATTCTTTGTGTAAGATCAAAGTAGACATACAGTACTTAAGCAGGGTTTCTCTAAACCAGTTCAAACATCAGAAGCTACATGTGCCAATGAAAAACAGTCTGCTGCACAGCTATGGGCTTACAGGGTCTTCCTTCTTAATGCAGATGGAAGCCTATGAATTAACTTCTTTGCTTTCTACTGTTTAAAGTCATGACTGTCTGACCACTGATGGCATGGCGATATTATTTATAACTTTCTAAATTGTAGGTCAGTGGTTAAGTTTTTAAACAAAATGGGGACACACTTTTTCAAGCAAAACAGAGAAACTATAAATAATGGCCTTTGGGTCAGTAAGTCGTTTATTTTTCAAAACAGTAACAGGGTATAAACCCAGCTTGGACTATTTTACCTTGTTAGTTCTTGCTATTGGTTAGTAAATGAAAAAGTAATCTCTTTTTTCCCCTGGATTTTTTAGTGTAGTTCTCCTAGTTTTCGGATGTATGAGTGAGTTATTTACTTTTATTATCTTGGTTAGATGGTCATAGTAGGGAGTTCACTGTAATTCCCAGCCACGTTTAAGCTGTAAAAACTTGTCAGAAGTGATGGAATCCAAAAGTAGGTTATCTGTGTATCTGATTACATCAACCAGCTCTGTTATATGACTGCTTTTGGTAAATTTCTTGATATTCCCCTTTTCCCTCCAAGTGTACTTTCTACCATCATCTCACTATCTACCTTGGCTACTTATCCTCTGTGTTCCACTTTGACTTTGCTGAAATCTGGTTACCACAATTGGTAAATCACCTAGTGTCATGGGCACCTGTGTCCCTGACAGTGTTTGTTTTCCAGCAAGTATGAGAGAGAGAAAGAAATTACGCGGGCCAGGTGGGTAGCAAATGTCGAATAAGCTCCATTTACTGATCTGAGGGTTAGGGTTTTTATACCCCATTCGTGGGAACTGAACCCAGAGTGGAAAAGGCAAAGTATCAACAATAATTTTTCTCATGGGAACGGTAACTAGGGGAATCCCCCCCTAAAACGTCTCTTCGCTTTCCTGTTATCTTTCAAGGTCCTTCTGTTCTCAAGGGAAAGACAGAGCAGGGGAGGGCTTGGAGAGCCTACATTCTGACTTAGGTGGGCCTCAGACTAAGGACAGGCAAAAGGTAAAACGCTGCTTGGCCTAAATCCTCAGACCCATCAGTGCAAGCCCTCCACAATCTCCCCCCTCTTACTGTTTAACTTGAGAAGATAAAGGGATGTAAAAATCTCACCTAAAATATGGCGAGTGTACTTTAACAAGCAGGGAAGGAGGAAACACAAAATCAATACAAAACATAGCCAAGGTAAAAAATGCAGTAGCAAACTTAATACATTCTTAAAAGGATTAAGTTGATCAATCTAATTTAACAATTTGTTTGCAATATCTTAAGAGCAATACCATCAATATAAGAATAAGCAATTTCATGTTGTATTTTGGATAATTGTTTAATTTTCTATGTAATATTTTGAGAGTGCCAAGCATCCTGGAGCTTATTTAATATTTGTTCAATGTTAACACTAGTGAAATTTGAAACACATATGGGGCTACACAGATAAATGAATAACAATAATCACATTTCAAATTGAAGTGCATTGTTAATTGTTCTATTTGTCTTCCTAAAGCTATCACTGACTGCTCTAAAACATCCAATTCTTGTTGCGTCATAGTATCTATTTAAATTTGATGTTGTAATACAGCAGACCAATTGTTAGCGTACTGAGCAGTTCAAA